AAAAAAAGGTTGGACAATCCTGTCTTAAATAGACAAACATAAAAAGACAATAACCAGCAAAACCCCCATGAAAATGATTAAAGAAATGGCCAAAAGTGCTTGGGACAAAAGACACTACTGACAATTTTTACACTCCTTTACTACCACAAAGTCCTCGGTATGACAGTAAACTACATCTGCGTCCTGGGTAAGACAATAAACTACGTCCAGCAGTAAGGCCTCTGATCAGGAGGTTTTGAGGAGTGTGGAACGACCTCTTAATTGCTGGTGTTCCCAGGTCTACCCTGATCTGGGGTGGTAGCACCTGTAAGGGTCCCAGCTATGGGCAAATAGTTGACCCCAAAACCTGACTCAAAACACTATGAAAGTGTAAAAATAGATTTTAATACCAGAAATACTTTTTAAAAAATTAGTATCAGCAATAAATATTCGAAAAGAGAAAATATTACCAGAAATAAAAATTTTGTCAGCATTAAATACCCCATTGAGATTAATATGCCACAAAACAAAACAAATAAAACTATACATTTTTTTAAAAAAATATTACCACCTATACATTTTACAAAAAAAAGGAATTTTGTCGGCATTAAATAACCCATTGAGGTTGATATGCCGTTAAACAAAATAAACCAAACCAATCTAAACCAAAGAATACATATTCTATTCATAGGAATCTATCCTAAAAATGTTGTCAGCATTAAATAACCCATTGAGGTTGATATGCCGTTAAACAAAGCAAGCCAAACCATTACTACCACAAGACGAAAAAATGTAAGCGTATTAGAAAAACTAAATAGAATTATCAATGTATCCTATATTTGTTTAAATGTTTAATGCTATGTTGTTGAAAGACTAAATGATACAGCTTCTCATAAAATATCAGTAATAGGAAATTTTTATGGCTAAGGGTGCCTATGGTTATCTATGAGGAAGCTATGGTACATGAAAAAAAGAAAAGGAACTGAATGTGGCCTAAAGGGATATTTATTAAATGAAGCCATATTTGGTTGATTTTTTTACAGCTTTTGCAGATTAATTAAAGCCAGAAAATATTTTTAGATTGTAACAATTTTTTTTGAGATAATAATGGTTTGGTGATACAAGTCTTATTAATTAACCTATAGCTGGGGGGAGAAGAGGTGGATTCATACCTAATCAGAATTTAATAAACAAAGAAGAAAATATAAATATAGATATAAAGTGGGGGTTCAATTCTATGTTACAACTAATATATAAACTGACCCCTCACTTGGTGGTCACTGTAGTTTCTATATATTTATATTCTAGAGTGTAAATAAATCTAAGAGATGTCGGTGTAGTTAATCAGTATTTGATTGATTCATTTTTTACGGCTTATCAACACTTTTCAGGTTATTTAAAGCCAGAAAATATTTTTATATTGTAAGAATTTTTTTTGTAGATAATGGTTTAGTGATACAAATTTTAATAATTAACCCATAAATGGAAGAGAAGAGATGGGATTCATACTTTTCTCAAGGATATTTGTGTATAAGTGAATATATATAATGAACCTAACTAGAATTGGAACTCAGGTCTCCAATTAACAATTCCATGCCATTATCTATTGCTCCATCTGCACATCCAAGTTTACGACACCTGCGGTCACCCATCTAGGTACGAACCAGGCTCAACATATATTTGGCTGAATGTATACCAGGTTCATAAGTGTTAAAATTGATAGCAGGCAGGCCACATAGTGTGGATAAAAAATTATTGTCTTCCTCCTATTTGATGGAGAAACACTAGTGAAGAGATATAAGTACTTTTTGCAAAGGGCTCACATTGACTGTGGATTCAAGTAGGAACAATGGAACAAGAGGCTGACAGGGCAAGATGGAGGCACAGGATCTATCAGACAACTTCCCAAGCTGAAGCATGCTGTGGAAAAAAAAAAGGACAAAAGAGAAGTGACTGCTCTGGAAAATTGGAGCCTCCATCGGCTGCTAGATTCTCTTTTGTAGTCATTGTGTGCATACCTCTCCTGTATAGACCTCACTTTTAGCTTTCAACAGATATAGAAAACCCTCCTAGATCTCTGCAGTTTTAGGTATATCAGATTTGTTATCAGATTTGTTATCATTATAAAACTCGTTCACTAATCATAGTACAAAAGGCATGTTTAAGAAAGAGAAATAATATATTTTAGAATAAACTTTATTCTAGTTAGAACTACATTTTATGGTATCTGATGACAGCAGATCAGTGGTTCACAACCATTTTCTTGGCCATGCCTCACTTGAGCATCTCTAAAATCCTGATGCCTCCCCCACACACTGTGACATATAATACATATTATTCAAAAAGTGAACTATTCATGTGGAAGTAGCCTAAGAGGCCATTAACTTGGTTTAAATAAGTTTCCAAAGAACAGTGATGACATATGCAATATTATGATTTAATTTTAGAATTTTACAATATTTATAAAAATCTCACATGTACATACGCACAAATAATTTTTTTATTTTTTATGCATACTGTAGTGTAGTGTACGTTAACTTGCACACACACTCATACTCACACAGAAACTAGAAAAAAATTCAGTTAATTCATTCTCGAATTGCCCCCTCATAAAAATAAAATTCTCCCTAGCCTAGAACCAAGGCAATAGTCTAAAAAAATACCCCCCACCCGTAAAAAAATCCTGTTATTGGGATACAAAACTTAGGGTACCTTAATAAAGAAATGCTTGCAAAGAATAAAGGAGGGGTTGTATTTTTGAGGACTGAGTTTATCAGTATCTTGCTAGACAAGTTTGGTATGAGTGTATAAAACTAAAAGTGTGTAGTACTCCTTATGAGTGAGTTACAAAAAAGAAAAAAAGTAAGAAAGAAAGAAGATAGTAATAGTGAGTGAAAAAAAAGAAAAGAAAAATAGAAAAAAAGTTTTGTGATCTGATAATAACACCAAAAGAACGGTAAAATTCTCTAGTTTGCGGGTGCGGTAATTAATTGTAATCGTAAAATTAACATTCAAAATTTAAATACCACTCTAACTAAAAAGAAAGGGAAAAAAACTCATAGTGCTGCTTCTACCCTAGCCATTTATAAAGTTGGTAAAAAAAATGAATATTTTATTTTAATATTTAATAAAAATTGTTTTCTTTTTCTTTAAAAAAAAAAAAAAAAACAAAAGTGTGAACAAACACAAAAATGTGTGTTTCCATTTTTGAAGAAATAGACACCTACTGTGACTTCAGGGGCTGACGATTTGAATGCTTCGACTTGGTGCAACAGTTAGCAAGCCAGTCATAGAGTTATTTTGTGAGTTCGATCCTCACTGGTGCCTAACACTTGTTGTCTTGTGCTAGCTACTGGCACAGCGCCAAAGAAACCTGATACTTGAAGATAGAAGTTTTTCGTTGGATATTTTAAATAAATGCCACGTGCCTTTGGCGATCAAAGCTTTCCCTCTATAGATTTCTACATCGTTTTTTTTTCTTTCTAGTTTCTATCTATAGATTTCATCATTTATTTTCTCTCTGTGAATTGCCATAAGTGCTTGAAATAAAATTATGACATAGGTGCGTAAAAATATAGTAAAATAAGACAAATTAAATTAAAAAATATAAAAATAAATTATAAAACAAGGAGTAGGTAAAGAAAGAAAGTACAATGTACAATAGTGTGTAAGAAGTGTACTGTACAGTAAAGTGTGTAAAACTGTATTCTAATTTTATTTGCCACACTTGCAAAGTAAGGTAAGAAAAAAAATCATAAATAACAATAAAATAAAATAAATCCTAGTAATAGCAGTAGCAGTAGCATTTTTATTTATAAAATAAAACAAATTAAATTAAATAATTATAAAAATTAAAAATAAATAAAAAGTAAATAGAGAAAGTACATGGTGTGTAAGTGTAATTCTATAATTTATTTTTAAGTAAGTTATTGCCACACTTGCAAAGTAAGGTAACAAAAAGAAAATCATAAATAAGAATTAAATTGATAAAATAAAAATAAAATAAATCCTAGTAACAGTAGTAGTAGTAATAGCATTTTTATTTATAAAATAAAATAAATAAATAAATATAAAAATTAAAAATAGACAGTGTAGAGTCTGTCTACACTACAGTCTACAGTACACTACACTGTACTGTAGACAAACAGATAGATAGATAGATAGATAGATAGATAGATAGATAGATAGATAGATAGAGATGAACAGAATGAGATAGATAGATAGAAACAAACAAAACTTAAAAAAAAAAGAATAAAGCAAAAAAGGTTGTGGTTGACGGTAAAAGAAAGAAAGAAAAAAAGAAAGAAAGAACCAAACATTGGGGGATTTTATGTGTGCGTGCGTGTGTGTGTGCGTGCGTGTGTGTGTAGAGAGAGGGAGAGAGAGAGGGGATTTAGAATTCAGATAGATAGGCGATATATATAAAAAAAACTAGGAGTAGGTAAAAATGATGTTTTTGGTGTGTAAATTTAAGGCTTACATTTGCGCATTTGCCACACTTGAAAAGTAAGATAAGAAAAAAAAAGAAAATCATAAATAATAATATAAATAATAAAATAAAAATAATCCTAGTAATAGCAGTAGTAGTAATAGTAGCATTTTTATTTTATCATCATCACCAACATCAACATGATCAGTTGTTGTTGTAAGTCGTATAATTTTCACATAGTCCTGCCACCTGCAGCAGTCGCGCTGTTATCAGCAGCAGCAGCAGCAGGGGAAAAAGACGCACTACATTCGTTCCGCCCTCGATTTATTATTTATAAAATCAAAAAGCGGACAGATAAGCTAAACCCACAGCAAAAGGAAAAGACATTCCGTACATTAGCTAGACCCGAAAGAAGTGTTGTATTTTCCTTCTTTCTTTCTTTATTCATTCAGCAACACAAAAGCAGAGGGTATCCATTTCATTCCTCAGGTTTTTTTTTGGTCATTAATTGACGTGCGTCTTCTTCCTTCCTCAACAAAATCCAAAGAAAAAGTGTTGTTCATTGAATGGAACAGAACCTTTCTTTTTCAATATGGTGTCATCAATAATATCTGATATTATTGTATATAAGACAGGATTTGCTGTTAATCGCAATCATCGTCGTTCTTCTTTGTTTACCATTCTTCTTTTCAATTCTTTGTTGTTCTTGTGTTCCTTCCATGCATGGAGCAAACCTTTTCTTGTGGCGGCAGATGAACTGCCCACATGTCTACCGGTAAGTAAGAAAAATAAAATAATTATCTCCAAAAAAAAAAAAAAAAAAAAAAAAAAAAAAAAAAATAAAAATATGTAATTTATCATTTTTTTTTTTTTCCTAAAAAAAGAAAAAAAAATTTAAATGCTGTTTTATTTTTAGTCTTTTTTGTTGTTATAAATTTTCTTAGCTTTTTATTAGGAATTTCCTTTTTCTTTTCGTAAAGAAACTTGTTATTTATTTTTCCAGATAAATACCCGATGAATTGAAAAAAAAAAAATTTTTTTTTTTTAATAAATTTAAATTATTTTGGGAATTATTAAAGAATAAGAAGATATTATCCACTTCTTCAACCCCCTTTTTTTTTTTTTTTTTTTTTTTTAATATTTATGGGATTAAAAAAAAAAAAAAAAAACACTAAAAATATTTTTAAATATTCCCCCCCCCCAAAAGAAAAATAAATTATGAAAAATAAGGTATTTTTTCTTATCTTTGACATGCATGTTTTCAGTACGTTTTACAGAAGTAGTCACGTGATCATACACTTACCTGTTAAAACAATTATTATAATAAAAAAAAACATTAATAGATGTTGAATTTTTTTCTCCTTTCATTATTTTTACTTCTCTCTTGACTTTGACTCTAAATGTTATATTTGTATTTTTAACCTGAAAAAAAGTGCTGTCAACATCTCTAAATAAATGGTATGAGGCCCAATAAAGCTCGAAATGTTAGACTAAAAAACAAAAAGGTTTTCTCTAAAATTTCGTATATTTGCATTGTAATTAAATTTCAATTCGATATTATTAATAAAAATTAAAAAAAAAATGATTAATTATACCTCCACTCAGTTTCGATACCTTGAAAATGAAATTTTAAAAATAAAAAATCTTTCTTGAAGCCTTTCTTTTTTTTTTTTCTTTAACTTTAATTGAAATAAAAACCTAAAGGATTAAATTTGTACTATTTCCAGTTGAAGCAAAATATTCTGGTTTATTTCAAGTAGAAATTATTATTGATGTCTTATTGATAACCCTGATGTTTATAGTGGGGGACACAATCTCTCAAATCAAAATCCTTGGGGTCTTTTATTGAGGGTTATTTTTTTTTTTTTTTATTTATTTAAATTTCACATAATGTTTAAAAAACATAAAGAATTTGTTTGTAGCTCTGTTTTTTTTTTTTTTTTTTTTTTTTATTTTTTTTTGTCTGTGCCAAAATAAATGACGATAATAATTGTAATTTAATTACAAAAAAACAAATGGGCCTCTCTTCAGTCTTTTTATTTTTTTTCTAAAAAAAAAAAAAAAAAAAATGCCATCAGAAAATAGATGCTTTTTTTTTTCTTTCATTCTAAAAACCCGACGAATAAAATATTCATTACAAGTTTTAAAAAATGTATAATCATTTTAAAAAGCATTTCTTTATATTTATAATTCAAATACAACAGAAACGTTAAAAAAAATCTTTGTAAAATGCCATTACATTTTTAAAAATACAATCGTAAAATTTCGCTGTTTTACTTAAAAAAATCAAAACGGTTTTCATGTTAATGTAGGAATTTTTTAATTTTTTTTTTTTTTTTTTTATAAGATTTTATTTTTCTTCAATCCTTTTTATACATTTTTTTTTTTTTTTTTTTTTTTGAAAATTAATCAAAAAAACAAACACTTATTTTCTGGCTCGGATTTTCCGATTGTTTTTTGTTTTTGACATCCCCGTTGTAAGCATTTTGCTTACAAAACAACTTTCTTTTATTAGTAGTAATTTAATTAATTAATAAAAAAAATTACTAAATTTAAAAAATCAATTTTTTTTTTTTCATTTTTTATGCTTGACTTGTGATTTAAATTTGTTGCTAAAAAAATAAATAAACAATAAGAAGAATTTTGATTAAAAAGATTTTTTTACAATTTTTACGGCGTACACCTTCTTGTGAGAAAGTGAATAATCGTAATTAAAAAAATGTTTTCCTTTTTTGGTCTTTCTTTAACAAAAAATCTGAATTAGAAATTTTTTTTTTTAACCACACAAAAAAAATGATTAAACAAAACTTTCAGTTGAAAAATGTTATGGTCGATTGGTGATCGATACGGGTGGGTGATCAATTTAATTGATTTAATTTAAAAACTAAGTCATTACTTAGTTTTTTTAGTTTGTTTTGTTTTTTGTCATAATTTCTTAAATCTTTTTTACGATCATCTTCAATTTTCATTCATACCTTCTGTCGCTTCGTTTATAGCAAAAAAATATTGATTACTTCTCCCCCGAGGAAAAACTAAAAAGAAAAGTCTTTTTTTATTTTAGGTTTCTTTCAATGTTTTTCAAGATTCTACAATCCACACCCTTTTTTTTTTTTTCTTAATTTTCTTGTTTATACCCGATGTTTGCTTTTTATTTTTCTCTTTCTCAAGTCTAGTCTTACTTTTTGGGAGGAAGAAAAATGCTTAGTTAAAAAAAAGAAGCAAACCACTGTTCATTTTCTTTAAATCGTTGTTGTTCACTTCATCCTGTTTGTAGAACATTAACTGCGGTAGAGTATTTTTTGTTATTGAGATAGAAGTTCGATCCCAGATGGAAGTGAAATCAAAATCTCGTTTGCTGCAAGTGCAATGTATTTTAAATTCTTCTTTCTCTGGAAGTTGAAAATATTCAAAATTTGAACGCCTCAGTTGATTTGTTTATTTACTGATGTAGTTGATGATTGAAGTGAATTCTTGTCACAGTTCACTTGAAATAATGTCACCTTTTTCTTTAGTCACTTCTTGTGTAATTGTCACATAATTAAAGCTTCACTTAGTTTCTGTTTTTACTATAAAAAAATAAAAAAAATGAGATTTTTTCCTGTTGGTAGAAAGCAGGAAACTTTTTTTTTTTTTTTTTCAGTTTAAATAAAAAATAGAACAAAAAAATCTTGTCTTCTCTCCAGATCAATTGAAACCACACCATGATCACGTGGCTTAACACACCTTTCAAAAGGAAGGACTTCTTAGCATATCTTGTTTCACTAAAATTGTCGTGAACTGATTTTTCCTTTATTCACTCATAAAACAATTTTCGAAAAGATTGTTTTACTCTTATTTTTAAAAAAGAAAAATAATCCTTTAAGCTTGCCCCTTACTTAGGGCGACAAAAACAATGATAATGTCCTCGTCTCTTTTTCCTTTACTCAAGTCAACTGTGTTATGTTTTTGCAGTCACATGTTTTTGACAGACAGAGCAACAGGCCAATAATTCTGGTCCCCTATTAACAGAATTATCAACTTTATATTATCAAGCATTGCCATTTATTAGCCATATAAAAAAACTGACCTTGTAAATAAATTCAATTTAATTTACTTTTACACCGTTTCAACTTACATCGAAAAAAAGCTAAATAAATGATGCAAAATAATTGACCATGAAAAAAGAAAATGCATTTTTTTTCCGATTTTACTAATAAATGAAAACTGTGTTTTTTGTTTGCTAACAAAAAAAAGATTAAATTAAAAAGACAACAAATCAAATAGTAGTCGTAAAACTAAAAGTCTGTAAAATTATGTATGAGAATTTTAAATTGACAGTCAGTACACTACTACACAAGATGAAAATAAACGCACGCTAAATTACTACTATTCGCTTCCATGGTTCATCTTACTTTTTTTTTTTTTATTTTTTTTTTTTAAATATCAATATTTCCAATGTCTTTGATCGGTATGACTTTTCACTTTACTATTTATTTACACAAACCCTAAACTCTAGTGACTAAAACTAAAATCTTTTCAACTGCTAGAGACAAATGATAAATGTTGTTGCTCAGGTTCAGATATAGACCTTCATGAATTTTGAGCTGTTTTCCTCTAGAAATGGACATGTTCGTGATTGATTGAAACGGTATTTCCAATTCATTAAAAAACAACGATTCAGTTTCATTTCATAGAAGGTACATTTTGTTTTTTGAGGCGCAAAAGATCATTAATTCTTAAATGTAAAATTCACGCTACAGCTAATGCTCTTCATAAAATAAGATCATAGAGCAAACAATGACTTTATGGCTTCTTTCTAAGGAAGAGAAGTGTCATAATTTAAAAGGAGCGTCATTCTATTTTACTACGGTGCCCTTCTTAGATATAGCTTTTCTTTTCATTTTTATTTTTAGGTATTAGCGTTTCAAATTATTCCTGCATACCATGCACTAGTACTTCACACCTATTTTTTTTAACCAACCTCATATTCTGGACCATTGTTTAGATCCGAAAAACGTGCATAATGTTAATGTCCGAAAAGTAATTAAATGCAAGTATTTTTTTCTTGTTTCTGTGAAGACCAATACGATAACTGAAGAAAAACAACAAAAATCAGTTTTCACTTCTATGAACATTTTCTTCCGTAGAATTTCCCTTGTGTGGATGGGAAATACTGACTAATTATATACCTTTTCTTTTTTGTTTTGTTTGTAATTTAACTTTCACTTTAAATAAAAAATGTTTTTTCGTAACTACTCTAAACAATATTTGCGTAAGAAAAATCTTATCTCCCTAAATGAGGTTACTTAAAAAAACACAAAATTTAAAGGGTCTATCAAAGATAAATCCGTGTTTAGTATTCTATTCATAAACAGGGCCGGTTTAAGATACTGGCAACTCTGACAGTCGCCTGGGGTGCCATCATACTGCCATGTCATGTGTTTGGGATCTTTCAGAACTAAAGTTTATAAAAAACATACTTTCAGTCATCCATGAATCAAGAAAGAAATTATTTGGCTATTTTGTCAATAGAAATTATCTTTTAAAGATAAGTTTTTAAATTGTATAATGACGGTTTTCTTTAATTTGTATTAAGTTGTGTTGTAAGTTTAACTTACTGTAAGTAATAATAAACTTGTTGTTATACAGTTTTTTTCTCCTTGTGAAAACAAAACTTTTTAAAAAAATTACACTTACTTGTAGGGTTGCTGAAGTTCAACTTGTCCGGGGTGCCAGCAACCCTAGGACCTTCACTGTGCCTAAAATATTTGAAATGCTAAACTTTAACAGTATTCT